CGCTCAGTTAGTCTTACTATATACTAACTACGAAGTCTAAGAGATCTACTGAGGATGGCTATAGCATCTCTGCCGGACTGAAGCCTAAGGAATTGAAGGAAGCATTCAGTTCCTGGTTTCTTGTCCTGTCTTTGATTAGTGTCACTTACTAGTTTTACAGGAATTGCTTCTGGGTTTTTACTTGTACAATATGGCTGATTTAGCTGTATTAACCATTTGAGTTAATGGACTCAGTTACTATCCTGTCTATAGAGGATCCTGGATGTTAATCCATAAGCCTTTCAGTTACACTGTTAGATGTTACATCGTCCCAGGGTTAACCACTATAGTGGTGTGCTGCTTTGTAGTGACGGCATTGTAATAAGAAGTAATATCCCTAATGATCTTTAAGAGGGAGGGAGGGGGCCTTGCTTTGATAGTTACTGGTTTTTTAAATTTATTTTTTTTTTTTGGAGCAGAGGGGAATAAATTTTGAAAGACAGGCTTTAAGGCCACCTACACTCAATGTACCTGTTGTCAGGTAGACTTTTATTGTGAATTTTATTTGTATATTCAACTGGGAGCACTTTGTAGGCATTGCATAAACCACAGCTTAGAAACCTGTGGAATTAAGTGCCATGTGGAACTGCTGCTATTTTTAGTTTGTTGTCCTTGCTGTAAACTGTAGCATTAAAACAATCATTATTGTATTAGCAGGCTTCTTGTTAAAACAATTCCGTGAAACAAATCTAAGCTGCATTTTAGTGAAGGCAGCATTTTTCTCTCAAAGCTAGTGCATTGTGAAATAATGCACCAATTTAATATTTGGATTCTGTATTAGTGTAGTGCAATTGTTAATGTGTTTGCTATTGATGTTTTGTAATTCTTTCTAATAAGGTTCTCTAAATGTTGATAGTCCATTCTTAAGGCTATTGTATATTTCTTTTTTAATGTTGGAGTACTTATAAATAATTTAGTGTAAGTGTTCAGGTTGTTCTTCATTGTTTATGTACATAAATTTTATTGTGCTTGTAGTATACTATTCTGAAACTGTAGTCTGAGATGCCAACAGACAAAGCTTAACTATTCAGTTTTAAGTTCCAAAATGAACAGAATGTGGCCATCAGAACCTGTACTGATGTTGGACCTAGGCTGACAGATGTTGCTAAAAATTGGAACTGTTCTAATTACTGGCTTGTCTCTTCATTAATTTTAGTTTAAACAATGTTTTGCATTTGTGCTCTATTTGTTCTTACTAGTGTTGAATTTGAATATTAAAGTTAAAAGTTTTGTTTAATATTGTCTAACACTTATTTAACTCTATAGTTGTAGAAATAAAATATTGAGTCAGGCATATACTATGGCAAGTCCTGATTAGATCTGCTTCCTGCTCCTGTGTAATACTTGTGGTTCCCTCTCATGAGAGTGGGACTCGCTGATAGTTATGTTATGAGAGAAGCGCCATGGTCTGTGTTAGTTTCTATAGCAGTCTGTCTCTACACCTTCAGAAATGGTACTGCATGTTGGAAAAATGAAGCCCCTGGAAGATCTGAAGTGGAACCCATGACTCTGAAGGTGGAGGACTAGATGAAACTATGTGAAGAAAGACCTGGGTCTGAGGTAAGGAGGAAAAATTACGAATTGCTGAGAATGGGAAGAGAACTGTTTATTTAAAAGTTGGGAAGAAAACTGTGTTCTCTGGACTATTCCAGTTTCTTGCAACAGCATGTTCTGTGACATGGATGCAAAATACCTATGCATTTGTATTTACCTTGTGTAAAGGAGAGAGATGCAGTAAAATTAATAAAGGCTTAATAGACTAGTCTATTGGGGAGGCTTTTACCTTGCTGTATTAAGAGTCGCAGGTGACTATCAGAAGCTGTATGTGAATTGGGTGGACCGTCATAAAATTTAACTTGGCAATTAGCAAATGAAAACTACGAAGTATTTTTATTTGTAAGAGGTCTCAGTGCTATTCAGAGGCTTGGTTTAGGTAACCATTCTCGGAATACACAGTTCTCGTCAGTAAAAACTGGTAGTCTGGAATACCTTTAAGTTTTTACTTTGTACAATAGTCCTGTCTGGTTTGTGAGAAAACTTAGAATTTCTCTCTCACATGGTTTTGTTGCAGCATTTTAATGTTCATCTGCACTAAATGAGACCTGTCTTAAAGCATACTTCTGAACCGTCGTAATTATCAGTTGATGAGGGATGTACAAACTAATAAGCCTTTCCTCCCCTATAGTGTAAATGAATGTGATCTACCTATAATAATTACGTGCTCTCGCATCACTCATTTTCAGAGGCTTGTAACGTCAGTACAGGTATTGCTGCACAAACGAGCCGCACACACCAGCTGTGTGACTTGTACTCTCCGCTGAGTAAAAAACTGGCTGGATGGCCAGGCTCAACCAAAGAGGGGCGGTGAATGGAGTTAAGACCAGCTGGTGGCCAGTGACAAGTGGTGTTCCCCAGGGCTCAGTATTGAGGCCAGTTCTGTTTAGTATCTTTGTCAGCGATCTGGATGAGGGGATCAAGCGCACCCTCAGTAAGTTTGCAGATGACACCAAGTTGGGCGGGAGTGTTGGTCTGCTTGAGGGTAGAAAGGCTCTACAGAGGGATCTGGACAGGCTGGATCGATGGGCCAAGGCCAACCATATGAGTTTCAACAAGGCTCAGTGCCAAGTCCTGCACATGGCTCACAACAGCCCCATGCAACGCTGCAGCCTTGGGGAAGAGTGGCTGGAAAGCTGCCCAGTGGAAAAGGACCTGGGGGTGTTGGTCAATAGCCGGCTGAATGTGAGCCAGCAGTGTGCCCAAGTGGCCAAGAAGGCCAATAGCATCCTGGTTTATATCAGAAATAGTGTGATCAGCAGGACTAGGGAAATGATTGTCTCCCTGTACTCGGCACTGGTGAGGCTGCTCCTCGAATGCTGTGTTCAGTTTTGGGCCCCTCACTACAAGAAAGACATTGAGGTGCTGGAGCATGTTCAACAAAGCTGATGAAGAGTCTGGAGAACAAGTCTTAGGAGCGGCTGAGGGAAATAGAGTTGTTTAGTCTGGAGAAAAGGAGACTGAGGGGAGACGTTATTGCTCTACAGCTACCTGAAAGGAGGTACAGTGAGATGGGTTTTGGTCTGTTCTCCCAAGTACCAAGCAATAGGATAAGAGGAAATGGCCTCAAGTTGCACCAGGAGAGGTTTAGATTTGATATTAGGAAAAATTTTCTTCACCAAAAGGATTGTCGAGCATTGGAACAGGCTGTCCAGGGAAGTGGTTGAGTCACCATCCCTGGAGGTATGGAAAAACACGTAGCTGTGGTGCTTAGGGACATGTTTTAGTGGTGAACTTGACAGCACTAGGTTAACGGTTGGACTTGATGATCTTAAAGGTCTCCCAACCTAAACGATGCTATGGTTCTAATCTGATGCTCGTCACAGGTTTTTTTATCTGCCATGGAAGGGATGCCCAGCTTAAACCATGCAACTGAAGTGGCTTTGGATATTCTTAACTTTCTCCTGTGTGCTAAGGAGAATGTTTAAAAAGGAGCTTTGGGTTTTTTAAGTAGTTTATGGGAGCAGTAAGAATGGTGGAATTTTATCTCAAATTTTCAGAGGCTTTCCTGAAGCCTATGGTGAAGCTGAGAATCCTGGCCCCAACAGTGGCCAGTGGGAAGAGGCAGAGAATTTGAAAAGGGTGCATTAATGCTTCTCATGAATACTCCCAGCATCCAGCGATTCATGCTTGCTGAGTGAGAAGTGATATCTATTTTTACTGACATTGAAGGGTTTTTGTGTTTTAACAGAAACAATCTTACAGTAATTTTAGTAGCTTATGAATTTATTGCAAAAACACCACTTGGGCAAAACCTATATACTACATATATGTATATGTAGTTAAGCAAGACACCTTTTCAGGTGGAAGAAGCCACTAGCCTCTCGCAAAATGTACAAAGTCAGATGTCAGTTGAAGAAGCTCTACCAAGCATGGTGTAATAAGATGAGCTTCATTGCTTTAAGAAGCAAACTTTATCTCAATTTAAGGAGCAAGCATTAGAGTTGGGTGTCAAATGGGTTATTCAAAATAGCTACGTTTAATGTTTAACCATTTTTCTCATGAATTCATCTAGCTTAATTTTCCAATACAGAGGTAGCATAGTATGTACCTTAATTTTTTTGATCAGAGTACCTTACTTCTTAAAGAATTACATGGAAAGAGAACATAAAAATAACTGAAAGCAGGTATTTCATGTCCCCACCTCCTCTAGATATTTGTCTGCTTCTTCATCTTCTGTCTTTGAATATAAATCCAGTGTCTGTAATCCATCTTCTAATGATACGTTACTGGAAAACGCTGTCTGTCCAGATTTGCTTAGTCTTGCTGCATCTTGTGCCCAAAGAGTGGGTGGTGTGGTGGACTAAAGCTCTTAAAAATTAGTTTCCTGTAAAGACATGGCACCACTCAACAGTGACAAATGCAGCTTTCCAAAAGAATGTTCTGAAATTGTTCCATCAAAATGGTTTATTTGTGGATGAATTATCTTCCATTTGACTGTACAAAACTAATTTCTTGTTGGGAACAAAAAAAAGTATTAAACTGAAACTTCTTAATGGGAATTCAAAGTATCAAGGATTGCTTCACTTTTTGGATAATTACTCTGGGGAATCCAACCTTCTACAGGACTACCTGCAGAAGTACTGATGGTCATTAGCTTTTCATTGTTTTGCAGGCTAAACGATTATAATCAAATCATAAATGCTACATCTTAAAAAATATTTTGAGTCACATACGGTATTCAAATACTATACAAAATTTTATTTATGCCATTACTATCGAAACACAAATGGATTTACCTGGAGAATATTTTTTCCACAAAACAGCACTGTGATAGTCATGCATACCCATGCTACTGGTCTGTTATAACCATGAAGGCCAACAGATGGATGAGTATGTCTGTAAAGAGAAGTTAGCACCTTCCCGTTGGAAACTGTGGCATAA